TAAAGTTCTATGTTATGATAATGGTGGTGAATATATTAATTTTGAGTTGTTAGAGTTTCTTCATGATCGATGCATTCTCCATGAAACGACATGTCCCCATACCCCACAACAAAATGGGATTGTTGAAAGAAAAAATTGCCATATTTTAAAAATAGCACGTGCTCTACTTCTTGGAGCCTCTGTTCCTAAGCGTTTTTGGCCTAAAGTTGTCACTTATGCAGTATATGTGATTAACTGTATGCCGTCTCAGGTTGTTGAGTTTCGAACACCTCTCCAAGTTCTCACTCAACATGCTATAGTGGTGTCTACTAATACTCTCACCCCTCAAGTTTTTAAGTGTGTGGCTTATGTTCATATCCAAAAAATTCATTGCAGTAAATTAGATCCATGTGTTATACGGTGTGTATTTGTGGGTTTTCTCGTCTCACCAAAAAGGATATAAATGTTATCATCCTAAGACCCGACATATGTATGTAACCATGGATGTGACATTTTCTAAATCAGAGTATTTTTATACTCCCTTGCATTCATCTTCAGATCACCTGTGGGAGAACACTATTGGTGATTTGGGATGGTTGGATCTAGGGGAGACACAATTGCTGAGAATGGCACAGAACCTGCACTTGCTGCCATTACCAAAGCAGGTGCCGAGAATGATCTAGTCGATCTTCGGCTAGCTTATGCCGAACCCAGGGAGGAACTTTAGTCAGCCCTTACCGAGCATTATGGGGTTTTTTAGCTGGATTCTGCTGAGAACAACAGTGCCCAGCAGCCTGCTGAAATTTCCTCTGATCGGCCATTGCAGATTCTTGCCGATACCAATACTCAGTCACTGCAGACACTTGTCGAACCTACTGATATGTCCCCCTATCTCTTTAGCTCCATAGTGTCGTCCATTACATCTTCTCTGAATAAACTTGAGGTAAGTATTGTAAATGATTATGTAACTAATCCAAGTAATAATGTGAGTATATATAAATTGCCACCAAGATAAAATTGAGGTGTGCCTCCTGATAGGTTATCTCCGGAAGGAAATGTGAAGTATCCAATAACCAACTATGTATCTTGCAATGGTCTTGCACCAGAGCATCAAGTTTTAGTGGACAATATGGAGTCTATTCAAGTACCAACCCAAGTGGAGGAAGCTCTGAAGGATCCAAAGTGGGCAAAAGTAATGGGTGAAGAAATGTTGGCATTACAGAAAAATAATATCTGGGAAGTGACAGTTCTACCCAAAGGCAAAAAGACAGTTGGATGTCGGTGGGTGTTTACAATTAAATACAAAGTTGACGAATCAATAGACAGGTACAAAGCAAGGTTGGTAGCTAAAAGATACACCCAGACATATGGTGTAGATTACCAAGAAACTCTCTCCAGTTGCCAAGATGAATACGGTACGTGTTCTTATTTCTTTAGCTGCAAATATGGACTGGCCATTAAAACAGTTTGATGTGAAGAATGCTTTTCTCCATGGGAATTTGAAGGAAGAAGTATATATGGATTTTCCTTCTGGATATGGTGCTGGTGGGAATATCGGAGTGTGTCGGTTGCTTAAGTCACTTTATGGACTTAAGCAATCGCCACATGCATGGTTTGATAGGTTTACTCAAGTTATGAAAAAGAATGGGTATCGTCAGAGTCATTCTGATCACACTTTGTTTGTAAATTAGAGACAAGATAAAGTGATAGCCTTAATCATCTATGTACATACATGATTATAACAGGAGATGATTTTGATGAGATTTCGAAGTTGCAAGGAAATCTTGTAGCCGAGTTCGAAATGAAGAACCTAAGGGATTTGAAGTATTTTCTTGGGGCTGAAGTTGCTCACTCATCTAAAGGTATCTTATTGTCTCAATGTAAGTATGTTCTGGATTTATTGAAGGAAACTGGTATGCTAGGGTGTAAGCTTGTTAGACACTCCCATTGTTGAAAAGCATCATCTATGTTTGCATCCAAAGCATAAATCAGTTGATAAAGCTAGATATCAGAGATTTGTCGGAAAACTAATTTATTTGGCTTATACATGCCCGAATATCGCCTATGCTGTAAGTGTTGTAAGTCAATTTATGCATGCACCAAGTGTAGATCATATGGCTGCTGTTATGCGTATCCTAGCATATTTGAAGTCTGCACCAGGAAAGAGTTTTGTATGAGAGGCATGGGCATTTGAAAATTGAAGGGTTCATTGATGCTGATTGGGCAGGTGATGTAAATGATAGGCGATCCACGTCTGGATATTTTACTTTTGTTAGAGGGAATTTTGGTTACACGACGAAGTAAGAAACAAAAGGTGGTATTGCGATCCTCAGTTGAGGCCGAGTATAGGGGCATGGCCCAAGGAATTTGTGAAATCCTTTGGCTACGAAAACTTCTTTGGGGTCTTGGGTTCAAGCAGAAGGAGACCATGAAATTGTATTGTGATAACAAGTCAGCAAGACATATAGCTGATAATCCAGTGCAGCATGATAGGACAAAGCATGTGGAAGTTGATCGACATTTTATCAAAGAGAAGCTCGAGACAAAGATTGTGTCAATATCGTTTGTAAATTCGGAGGAGCAACTTGCAGATGTTATTACTCATGTTGTGTGTAGTCAAAAGTTTGATGACTCACTTGTTAAGTTGTGTAGTCAAAAGTTTGATAACTCACTTGTCAAGTTGGGCATATGTGATATCTATGCACCAACTTGAGGGGGAATGTAAAAGTGAGTAAATATTTAAAAAGGGAATGTAGAGGTTGTGTATATATTAGGAGTCCTTTATTAGGAAGAATATATGTTTGTGTCCTTTATTGTTTCCTTATGGAACAAGGATTGTATATGTATATATTTCAATTATGTAATACAATGAAAATTACGTCGTAAAATTCTATTTACTATTCCTTAATTTTTATGGAGGATTTGAATTCATGAGGAGTCAGAACTCAGACTGAAGTTAATTGTTTAATGAACATCTGGAACTGAAGTAGGAACAATACTGATTCTATATGAGCTGCGTACAAATTCAAACTTTACAAGCTATAGTAATACGCATCTCCTGCATGTGAGATTTCTTGTGGTGTAAGACATTTCTTGTCTTACAATTATCAAAATTTAGAAGTTATTTAGAAAGAAACCAAAAATAGGGGTTCGGATTTGAATTCCGGAGATGATTTAAGAAAGGCATTGTTTGTGTATAAATTATCGTTTATGCATCTACATATATGAGCTTTCCTATATTTTAAGCCCGGTATTGCTGTTGTTTCTACTTTGGAGAAAAGTTTCTGCTGGACTCAGAAGCTATAGCATTGCAGTGGTTAGGTTGAAGATGCTTAATTTTCAAATGCTACTATGTGTAAGCCTTGGAGGTTAATTGTATGATTGACAAACAAATTAAATACAAAAACATATGCAAACGTAGGCGTAGCCACATGGCAACGTACTCTCTTTCTGCACTAAAATTACCGTAGTCGTTTATTTTAAATTAGAATATTGGTCGACCAAAAATAAATTACAAAACCGAAATCACATGATTATTTACACATCCGGATGGAGCATGCACTGCGATGAGAATGCAAGTACCTGACTTTTGTTCACATTGTACATTAGCATTAATGGTGAACCTCTCTCTCTCAAATATAAATGTTTTGTCTAAGAGTAAAAAATAATTCCAGGCTGCAGCATGAGTTGCTATAAACGGATCAACATCGTTGTTTCTTGTTCGACAGCCCTTCACCCTTTTAGATGGCAAGAAAAGTTTCTCGCAGCAAACAGCACAAGGCGAACCTCCAATGCCAACTTGGTGATCAAGGTTCCCACGAATTGACAAGGACCTCACCATTTTCTTCAGCTTGGTAACTAATGACGAGCTTCTCCATCCTCGACCTCTAAATCTTTTGTTATCTCAAATCCTCGATCTTTGAAGTTAGCAATGGCGGGTTTGGCGTCTGGGGCTGGAGAAGCCATGTAGAGAATTGGGGGAGTTGAAAGGAGTTGATCAAAGTGTGCTGGGATGATGGCATCACACGGATAGTGCAAGGTTGTACAAGATAAGCTTGGCATTTGTGAACGGGTGATGCGATCCACACACATTTTTTTTATCTACTTTTGTAATGCTTTAGCTACTTTTGTAATTCTTTTTTCTTGCAATTGTTAAATTTTAGAAGGCTTTTTTTTATTTCTTGATTTCTTTCACTCTCATTGTAGTAACTTGATTTTTCATCTTAGAATAAAGTAGAGAAATTGATACCTAACTTGCATGATCCAATATTTTGCAGTCAACTTTGTCAATTTAAGCACCCGTAGAATATCAGACGCTTTCCTTCCCCGAAAATTATACCCATTTCCTGCCAACTGTAAATGTTGGAGGCCGTTTCCCCTAAGAGTTGGTGTAACATAAGCCTATACATAAAAATAACAGGAACTGATATTCACACATCATTTTTAGCTTCTCCCACATCTCTCTTTAATTTTGGTCATCAGATTGAATAAGTCAAACGAAATCGATAGTCGAGATTAAATTAATATTGGTGTGAGAGGTTAAAGGAAGTATGTGAAAATCACTTCCCAAACAAACACTAATACTGACTAAAAGAATATTGGTAAAAATGTCAAGAGCTTAAACCATTCAACTCCAAATCCAATAGACAAGGATGAAGCGTGAACAAAAGAAAACCACACATTTTAGTTTCATTGAAAACCACTTATTTTGTTATCATTATCTATAAACACCAATTTTTAGTTGCCAGAAATTTTGTGTTATTGAAATTATGGTTATTTCTTGACGTGACAGATTTTCTTTTTGATTTGGCATATGCTAGTTGATTCATTATGTCTGACGCAATCAGCTCATGGCATTCACAAAAGCTTAGAAACCATCAAACGTCATGTATGTTATCATTTTAGATGTTATAATACGGGTGAACGACATTATTCATATGTCATGGACCTGAGATATAGTTTCAATATATAAATGTTATAATACAAGTAGATTAGTAACACCAGGTGGTGGTGTGACTCACACTGAAAAATACTAGTCTGTTACGTTTGTTTGGTTGTTTTATATGCATTTGTCTACTATAAACAATAAAACCTGTGAAAGTTATTGCATTCACAGACACCTTAGCTTCAAATGGAAAATCCTTGGACCATTATACTTGTTGTGGCTCTACTTTGGGTTTCAGTAGTTGCAGCAACAAGAACTAAGCTGCAATCCATCGAAAATGTCGATGGCGGCATTTGCAAATCAATGTTGGAGACACAGGGCTATACTTGCCAAGAACATAAAGTAAGCATCAGAAAGTGCATGCCTTACTTTTTCAGCTTATGTCATGGGAAAAAGATCAATTTTTTTATTGTGTTTTTTCATGAAATTTATGATGATCAGTTTCAGGTAACAACTGAAGACGGTTACATCCTCGGCTTGCAGAGAATTCCAATGGGACGGTCTGGTGACGAAACACCAAACAAGAAGCCTGTTCTGTTACAACATGGGCTCTTAGTGGTTTTCATCTAAGCGCCATATTTTTGAGCATTCATATACATACAGATACACATATAGAAGACAAACATGCATGAACTAATTAAAGAACAACTGTGTGTGAAAAACAGGATGCTTCAGCATGGCTACTCAATCCGCCGGATCAAGCTTTGGCATTTATCTTGGCATTTATCTTTGGGAAGAGACAGGCCGAAACCTGCTCTGATACCAAGATAAAAGTATATGTGTTTAGGGTTTGAATTTTGTTATATTATTTTTCTCTCTATGAGGCATATATATAATCATACATGAGGCCCTATAAATTAGGAAACAAGACTCCCGAAATATACAAAGAATCAGTCATGGAATCCTATTCTAACTACATTCCTAAATCATAAAGTTGACTCACGCCAACACTCCCCCTCAAGTTGGTGCATAGATATCACTTAAGCCCAACTTGTCGAGTGAGTCTTGAAAAACCTTCACCGACACTGCATGAGTTAACACATCAGCTAACTGTTCTTCGGACTTCACATATGGAATGTCAATCAACTTAACGTCCAACTTCTCTTTGATGAAATGTCTATCCACCTCCACATGTTTTGTACGATCATGTTGGACTGGATTATTGGCTATCTCTCTTGCTGCTTGATTGTCACAGTATAACAACATAGACTCCCGAGGCTTAAATCCTATTTCGGTGAGAAGAATTTGGATCCATAACAACTCGCAAATCCCATGTGCTATACCTCGATATTCTGCCTCAGCTGTGGACCTAGCCACCACGTTTTGTTTTTTACTTCTCCAAGTTACAAGATTTCCTGCTACAAATGTAAAGTAGCCTGACGTGGAGCGACAATCGGTAATGTTTCCAGCCCAATCAGCATCAGTATACCCTTTATCTCCATATGTCCATGTTTCTTGAAAATTAATTCTTTCCCAGGTGCACCTTTCAGATAACTCAATATACGCATTACGGCTGCTATATGATCCTCACTAGGAGAGTGCATAAATTGACTGACAACGCTAACTGCGTATGCAATATCTAGCCTTGTAAGTGATAAGTAAATCAATCTTCCTACTAACCTCTGGTACCTCTCTTTGTTAGTCGGAATTTGATCTTGGTATATTGCCAGGTGATGATTTTGCACGATGGGAGTTTCTGCTGGTTTACATGCCAACATCCCAGTTTCAGAAAGAAGATCTAGCACATATTTGCACTGACACAAGTAAATACCATCACGAGAACGAGCAACTTCGATTCCGAGAAAGTATTTCAAGCCACCTAGATCCTGGATCTCAAACTCCGAAGAAAGATACCTTTGCAATCTCTTTACCTCTTCTGTATCATCTCCAGTGACTACCATATCATCCACATAGATTATCAACAAAGTGACTTTACCTCCCATGTGTTTGATAAACAGTGTATGGTTTGCATTCCCTTGTTTGTAGCCATAGCTTTTCATTACTTGGGTGAACCTCCCAAACCATGCTCTAGGTGATTGTTTGAGTCCATAGAGGGCCTTTCGAAGTCTACATACTTTTCCAACTCCATTTGGTACTTCATATCCAGGTGGAAATTCCATGTACACTTATTCTTCCAAATCTCCATGTAAGAAGGCATTTTTCACATCAAACTGTTTCAAGGGCCAATCAAAGTTAGCAGCTAAGGACAAAAGAACTTGAATAGTATTCATTTTTGCAACTGGAGCAAACGTTTCTTGATAATCAACTCCAAATGTCTGCGTGTACCCTTTAGCAACCAATCTTGCCTTGTATCTATCTATGGATCCGTCTGATTTGTGCTTTATGGTGAATACCCATTTACATCCCACCGGTCTCTTCCCATGTGTTAATGGTACCACGTTCCACGTTTCATTTCTTTGTAAGGCCTCCATCTTAACTTCCATGGCTTCTATCCAACGAGAATCTTATAGGGCTTTTTTCACATTGGTTGGGATCTTGACTCCAGCCATTTGATTCACAAATGCTTGATATTTAGGTGATAAACGATGTGTTGACACATACTGTGCAATTGCATATTTCACTTTTCCATCCGGAGAGAATCTGTTAGGTGGTTTACCACGGTTTTGCCTAGGAGGTAAGACATACGAATTTTCAATAATACTTGAATTATGAGAACATACCTCTTGGATATCCTCGGGGACATGGAGAATGATGGTTATTATTTGCTGGATTTGCTGCTTCGATACTATCCATTTTCCTTCTCGTTGACCAAATTAATTCAGGCCCATTCATAGACTTAGTCAAAGGCTCTCCTCTCGGTCCACTGCTGCATTCTGCAGCCTGCTCACCAAAATCAGCCTGTGGGTCAGCACTTGGGCTGCCCAAAGACTCCACATCATGTTCTTCCCATTCAATACACGTATCAGTGTTTAGGCCGCTGTCAATGCATGGATTAATGCTTGGGCCGTTGCCTACGTTGGCACTTGGGTTGCTACCAAGTGTACTAGCAGCAAGCTCACTATATTCTTGGTTGATTTCAATCCTCTCATTGGACAGCTCCAGTGGCATATCAAACCACCTATATTCGTCTTGTATACTAACTAACTCCCATTGACGAGTAGGGTGAGTTTGTTCAGTAGCAAAGAACATTTCAGTTTCGGAGAATGTGACATCCATGGTGACATATAAACGCCTAGTAGAGGGATGATAACATTGGTATCCCTTTTGTTGGCTATTAAATCCCAAAAACACACAACGAATCGCACATGGGTCCAATTTACTACGTTGATTTTTTTTAAGATGCACATATGCCACACATAAAAAAAATGCGAGGTGATAACTGGAGAGAGGACGGAAGAGTGACATGATCCGTCAAGGCTGCCAAAGGGGTACGGAAATTATGAACCCGGGATGGCATTCGGTTCAGGAGATACACGGAATAGTGACAGCATCCGCCCAATATGTGTTAGGTGCCTGTGCTCCGATAAGAAGTGCTTGAGTAGTTTCCAAGATATGCCTATTCTTACGCTCTGCCACACCGTTTTATTGTGGAGTTTGGGGACAAGTGGTCTCATGGACAATGCCGTGCTCCGTGAAAAACTGAGAGAGCTCTGAATTAAGATATTTTCCACCATTATCTGATCTGAGGACTTTAATAGGAAGGGATAATTGATTTCCAATCATGTTGTTAAATTGTTGGAAGATTGGACCAACATCACTTTTCTGTTTCATTGTATAAAGTCATGTCATTCGAGTGCAATCATCCACAAAGATAACAAACCACCGAAGACCTTGTTGTGTAACTATTGGTGAAGGACCCCATACATCAGAGTGAATTAACTCAAAAGGCACTATTCTTTTATTGAAACTCAAATGGTACGAAGTACGATGACTTTTTGCAAGAATGCAATCATTACAGTGGAAATCAGACTCTGAAATGCCACTAAATAACGACGGAAGTAATTTTTTCAAATAACCAAAAGATGCATGTCCTAGTCGACGATGCCATAACCAAATTGTCTTGGTCTTATTATTGTAACTGCTACGCACTTGATTGACTCGGCCTGGTGCCACATCCTCCACATAATATAACCCTCTTCTCTTAGTACCACACCCAATGATCGTCCGTGTTTGGATATCCTGAAGTAGGCAAAAAGTAGGAAACATTAGTACTACACAATCCAACTGTTCCGTAACCTGACCAACATAGAGTAAATTATTTGATAATGATGGAACGTGTAGTGTATTGTGCAAGGATAAAGATTGAGTAAGGTCTATTGAACCAACTCATGTAACGGGAGCAACTTCACCATTTGTCATGATAACATTCTCCTTTGGTGGGTCATATGGTGAAATAATGATTTATCGTATGTCATGTGATCAGTAGCCCCAGAGTCTATTATCCAGTTGGAATCTCATTTAATGGATGCTATGAGTGCAGTACTGATGTTACCTGGATCCTCATCTGATATTTGCTCAATCAACGAGATCATCTGGTTAGTACTTTCCTTTGCTGCATGGTGCAATTTTTTTCCACGTTATGGCCCATTTGTTTCTCCAAGCCGTGGGTTGATGTGTGGGGCCTAGGCCTAAAATACTTTGTTGCCAAAGCAACTTTCCCAAGGTTGCAATTGGATCCAATGTGGCCTGCTATCATAGCAGCTCCTCCATCCCCAGACTCGACCAGTTTGGCCTAGCCTGTGCGCTTCCCTTTGGCTTTCAACTGTTTTTTTAATTCCCAGTACCACTCTGGATACCCATGTAATTCAAAACATGTTTCTTTAGTGTGCTGTTTTCCATTGCAGTGATTGCAATGAAGTTTATCCTTATCAATGTCTTCTTGAGTACGGTTCGGGCGTGGTGTTCCCGTGGGTAGTAGACGCATGGATGGTGATAGGGATTTGGTGACCATTGTCATAGAAGAGCTTGTTGTTGTGGCTTTTGTCCCAAGCATAGTTGTCTTTCTTTGCGCTTCACGTCGAACCAAACTGAAGGACTCTTCAATCCTAAGAATGGGTTTTATTCTTAGGATTTCACTCCGGACTTGGTCGAAGCCATTGTCTAATCCCGCAAGAAAGTCATACACCCTGTCTTTTGAAAGCTCTTCCGTATGAGTTCGAAGATCAGCTGCGCAAACCATCTTGATATGACGTCTTTTATCAAGATCTTGCCATACTCCCTTTAATTCTGTGAAGTATAAATTTACAGGACGACCATCATGTCTAGTCCGTGTAGCCTTGCATCTCAGTTCATAATACTGAGACTCGTCGGATCCGTCGTAAAACATCTGGGTCGCACTCTCCTAGATATCTTTGGCTGTCGGAAAATCAATGAAGAGACTCAACAGGTATGGTTCCATGGTTTTCAACAGCCACCCTCGCACAATTACATCTTCAGTGACCTACTTTGTGTAGCCTGGAGAGTCTTCTTCCACAATTGAAATCTTCTCAGTCAAATATCCATGCTTGCCGAGGCCTGCAACATGGACTTCCATCATCTTTGACCAAACTTTAAAGTTTGTATCTGTTTGTACCATACTTGGCCAATCTCGAAACTATTGAGCACCAGTCAACGTTATACCGTCAAGGACCCAGAAGAGTTTCCCTCCAACCAGGAGGCCAATCACAGCGCGACACGTGTCGACATCAGAAGCCAATCATAGCGCGACACGTGTCAACATCAGAAGCCAATCATAACACGACACGTGTCAATGTTAGAATGAAACTAGAAACTCTCTTTTATAAATAGAGATCATTCTCTCACAATATTTTCTAATTGGAACCAACCTAGGCTTGGACCTTTTACAAGGAGGATCCTCGACACCCTCCTCCAAGCAAAGACAAAGCAAAAGTTTGGCTTGCAACTCTATACTGGAAAGGAGGACCCGATTGAACACCTTAACTTCTTTGAGTCCACCATGGCATACCGGATGCACACCGACGAAGAGCGATGTCTTCTCTTCCCCTTCACCCTCTTTGGCGGAGCTCTAAACTGGTATTGCTGTCTTCCACCTAAGACGGTAGACTCATTTAAGGAATTGAGGAAACTGTTTGTTTCTCAACATATTTTCCAGACCGATCGCTTGCATTCTGCAGATGACTTGTACACTATTCGCCAGAAGCCGGACGAGTCACTACGAGAGTATGCCGGTCATTTTAGCCATGAGTATTCTCACTGTGTTGAGGCAGATGACAAGACCGCCCTCAAGGCCTTCACGGCAGGCCTACATGATTGTTTCTTCAAGTATATGATCAATGCCAACATTTGGAAGACTTACTCTGAGGTGATGGCACAAGCTTACAACCATACATTCGCCGAGGCAAAGACATATCAAGGGAAACCCCCCACAGCCACCCCTTATCAGCAAGTAGGGAGTGGAAGCCAGATCCA